TTCTCAATAACAATAAATTTATCAATTCAAAATTAGTTTGAACAATTAATATTACAACAAATAGATAAAGAAAATTTATTGGCTTTTTTTTTTTTAATCAATTATTATTTTAAACTTTCAACTTTAATAAATCTAAATCAAAACTCGTTATTCACAAATTTTATATTTAAAAAAATAACATGTGAATGCAAGTGAAAAACTATGCAGATAGTTACTTTAAGTTAAATTATATGTCGGCTAAATTATTAAAAAGTTTACTTTTAAAATCTTTTTTTTTTTTAAATATAGAGGTATTTATTTTTTTCATTCAATTAATAACTATGCCACTCAATTAATTTTTTTATAAAATTTTTATTATTACGCTTTCTTGTTATTCTTTAATTAAATTAAATAAATACATTCGTTTTATTTATTTTATTATTAAAATGAGCCTTTATAAAAAAATTGGTGGTGAAAGTTATTATGACTTATTTGGTAACTTAGAAATTATGTCTATGCCTTCAACTCCAAATATAAATGATAATGAAACTAATTTTGATATCACGAATAAATCAGCAAAAGATATTAATGATGAAATGGATTTCAAACAATCTTTTACGCAAGATGAATTTTTTTCCTTTATAAATTTAAATGATAATATTGAATATATGAAAAACAATTCTGATGATAATTCTTCTAAAATGGATTCTTTTAATGAATTAATACATATTGAAGATAATGAAGGTAAATTAAGATATGCATAATCTGCCTATTTAATGATAATAATAAAGTTTTTTTTTATAGATATATGTGTAGATACTGAGAACTCAGTTGATGAAAATGAGATTACGAAAATTATAATTGAGAAAAATAATAAAATATGTCATTCCACTTGTGCAATTATGGTTATGGATCCAAAAACTGAAAAGATTAATAAATGCCAAAACCCAAGTATTCAGAAATTATGGCAGTTAGTCAGAATTCGGGAAATTAATTCAGAATCTGTTAAAATAGGAAATGCTGAACCTAGTAAACTTGATGTTTATAAAATACATTTTAATTTAGATCAGAACTTTCATGAAATAGGTCATAAAGCAAAAATATCAACAGAACAATCTATGATTACGATTAGAAGATATCTTTTTTGCAATTTAGATATTTATATTATATCTTGTGGAAAATTATGTTATTCTCATTCTTGTAATTTAATTGAAAAAAATCTTTTAATTCCTTGTCTAACGCAATTTTCATGTT